TTAAATCTGAATGTCATGTTTTTGAGGCTATGTCAACTTGTTAAGTATTAAGAAATGTCTTCTGATACTCCGAAGTTGTTAGTGGCAATATTTATGATATGATGTGGACTGTGGAGGACTGGAAGCAGAATATCTTGTGTCTAAAAATCGATTAACATAACATTTGTTTTTGGATTTCTATATTTTAAATTCTGAAAGAACTACTCTATTATATTTTTTGTGATCTTTTCTCCTTCATTATCTCTTATTTGTTATACTGTAGTTTCTAATCTAATAATGCCTTTTTTTTTATTATTTTTTTTATGGGATCATCCTGCTATTTCAAGAATGTTGCAAAATCTGAGAGATCCATTTTCATACCTTTTTGTTTCAGGTTTCCAGAGAAAATTGGAGGAAACTTACCCGGTGTGCACTATATTCGGGACGTGGCAGATGCTAACTCCCTTATAGAATCATTGGTAGTTCAACATCCTTTCTGGGCTTAATTTTGTCGTTGATCATTAATAGTACCCTAATGTAGACTTATGAGCTGCTTGAAGCAGAATTTATCATCTTATAACATCAAGCTATTGTTTCAATGCCCATTATTGTCAAGATTCGAGGGTGATCTCTAGAACTCAGTTGTTTATCTGACTTACAGATTTACATATCGTAACTCTGAATATTGCATAAATGCTTCACACGTGGATTTCAACTCTTCAACTTTGGTTATTTTTTAAAAGAATGTTCATGACTATATACATTACTGAATATGGAGTACCATCTTTTTTAAAACCTATGTTCAGGCGCTTCTTGATATCTCCAATTATGGAATTTTACATTCCCTTCCATGACTGTATAATTGTATTTGCTTGTTGTCACTAAATGTGTGCTTTTTTTTTTTCATCATGAAATGAGTTTGAGTTGCTAGTTGTACCAGTAGTATATAAACATGATGTTTCTAATTCTATGCCTGAAGATTAAAGATTGTGTCTTTCATTATGCAGAAGAAAGCAAAGAAAGTGGTGGTGGTGGGCGGTGGCTATATTGGCATGGAAGTTGCAGCTGCAGCCGTGGGTTGGAACCTTGATACCACGGTATGTGTGGACAATATGCCATTTGGTTGAAGTTGTATATTTTAATAGTTGATGCATTTAAATTGTAGAAGAAGAGGAAAAATGAGGAGAAAGTAAGATTTGTTACTTTGTGCAATTGCATCTGGATATTCTAGTAAACTATTTAAGATACCAAGGATTCTTTTGTAAACTGGCTGTATTTGCTTTCCAGTTTTGAATATAGAATTTGAAATAGGGTACATCTAAGGTTAATGTGCCAAGTTTTTCTGCAATATTCTTCCTGCAGTCAATTAATGCTTTCTCCAATGTGTACATTCAATTTGTATTGCTTTGATTTAGCACTGATATCTTTCTCTTGGTTGCTTTGATTAAGTAGGTCATTTTTCCTGAAGACCGTCTTTTGTCAAGACTGTTTACTCCTTCACTGGCCAGGAAGTATGAAGAGTTGTATGAGCAAAACGGGGTCAAGTTTGTGAAGGTTGTCACTTTGTCAACTACTTCCTTGTCATTTGACTAAATTCTTGGTAGATTTTTTCCCCTTTTGGGATAAATTATGATTGATTGTACAGTATTAACACTCAGTGATAATAAATGATATAGGGTGCTATGATTATAAACCTAGAAGCTGGTTCTGATGGAAGTGTGGCTGCTGTCAAACTCGAAGATGGTTCTACCATAGAAGCAGACACTGTAGGTTTGCTTATTTTTTTTTTTTATTTGGTATTACTTGCTTTGAATTTCTCCCCTTTGCATGCATTTTGTTTATAGTCATAATATTTTAATAAAAAATTGATTGATTTACTCCCATATAGAAGCAGACACTTTAGGTTTGCGGTATTACTTGCTTTGAATTTCTCCCCTTTGTATGCATTTTGTTTATAGTCATAAAATTTTAATAAAAATTTGATTTATTTACTGGTGGTTTTTTCTATAAAGAGCAAATTGGAACTTGATTAAATTTATTTCAACCCGTGCACTTATGGAATTAAGGCTTTTGATAGATTGATGGATTGTGCAGATAGTTATTGGTATTGGAGCTAAACCTGCAGTTGGTCCTTTTGAAAATGTTGGCTTAGATACAACTGTTGGCGGTATTCAGGTGATTGCTAATTCTCTTTTGGAACTTCGAAGTACTCCCTCTATTTCAAAATGATGATCACTTAGTAATTGTTACTCACTTTGATATGACTCATAGTTTATGTAGCGGACTTTCTATTCTAGGCGTAAGGTTTTTGTAGCAATATTGTTGGCGTAATTTCATTGTTAGATTGTGCAGTAAGCATGGTAGTCACATGTACTAGGTTTGCTGCATAACTTCATTTGTGGAGCACTGTATTCCTAGATCTGTGTGCCATAACAAAGCATCACTCTCTGTAGATGAACTTCATATATGTAGTCAGGTTCTGGTTTCTTTTAGAATAAATACATTATGAGTGCAATGCAAAACATACGCTAAATTGTGGATTTGGTGTCAGGTTGATGGTTTGTTTCGCTCCAGAGTTCCTGGAATATTTGCCATTGGAGATGTCGCAGCTTTTCCATTGAAAGTACGTTAAGCATTCTCATTCTATTCAATATATTTTTCCCCAAGGCGTTGCTTTCTCACTCAGGAAGTGATGTATACATGTTTGGCAGATGTATGACCGTGTTGCTCGTGTTGAGCATGTGGACCATGCCCGTAAATCAGCTCAGCATTGTGTCAGTGCACTTTTGAGTGCTCGAACTCACACGTAGGCCAGACTATTTGATTTTTTTCTTTTATTCATTTCTTTTTTATTTTTTTTTATTTTTTAATTTTTTTTATAGTTATTATCTTCTTTTTAGATAGGTTATTGTGGTTCTTCCTGACAAGCTATCAGTCATCTTTCTTGATAATATTTTCCTGCTTGAATGTAGATACGATTACCTTCCCTACTTCTACTCAAGGGTATTTGAGTATGAAGGGAGCCAAAGAAAAATATGGTGGCAATTTTTTGGGGACAATGGTAATGATGCTGCTTAAAATAATTGTGTATTCTGCTTTTAACTGCAGCAGAGTTACAATTTGTAATTATGACTTAGCAATCATGTACTTTTTTTTTTTTTTTTTTTTTTTTTTTGAGGGATAATAATCGTGTACTTTATTGCTTATAATGATCACCTTTTTAACAGTTGGAGAGACAGTTGAGGTAGGAAACTTCGACCCCAAGATTGCTACATTCTGGATTGATTCTGGTATGTTCTATTCATCACCTTCCTTCCTTCTGCTGTTTTATTTTCACTGTCACAGACGATAATTCTTGAGCACTTCTAACTAGCCTTGTCTACTAAACAGGGAGACTGAAAGGAGTTCTTGTTGAAAGCGGAAGTCCTGAGGTACTTATTTGTTTCCTTGTAGTTGAATTTCATAAATTTGTTTTATTTTTTAAAGTTTATGTGTGGTATCCCTTTCTAACTGGCATAGGTTGTTCATATGTAATCGTGAAGGCTGAAAAATTACTCTCAGTATTTTTCTGAAATTAAAAAATGATGCTCTTCTTGATTGAAATTAAAGATTGTATTGTTAGGCACTAGGTCTTGGAACTGTATTGCATATATATGGTTCATTGATCCCTCAAATGAGTCAAATCTTTGAAACTACAGCGTGCTGATAATCTCATATTTTAACTTAAGCTTAAGCATGATTTATATTGAAAGACTCGGATTGTACCCATGATTTTCATGAATAGTATTACATTTACTTTTGCCAGTAGGATTTTTTTTATCAGCTTCACATTATCACATATGCATGTATATTCATAGTTTTGTTTTGATTGGAAGTAAATGCTGATATCTTATGATAATTTCAGGAATTCCAACTTCTTCCCAAAGTTGCTAAGGCTCAGCCTTTCGTTGACAAAGCCAAGCTGCAAAGTGCATCATCAGTTGAGGAGGCCTTAGAAGTTGTTCGTCAATCACTTTAGGCTGGGGCAACAGTTTAGGTAGGGCTAGCAGCTGGTTAATTCTGTACTCAGCTCAGCCATTTACACTGGTTGTCAAATTTTATGGACATGTAACAAACAATCGAATTTTTTTTGCACTTGATAGCGAGGTGAGGGAGAGGAGAGGTGAAAGGAAACTGTTGGCGGCAGGCCATGGCTTTCCTGTGTACTACATGTCTATCTAAATAAAAACTAGTTTTTGACCCGTTCAATGAAGGGGATGCTTTTTGTTCATCTATATAGTCACACCTACATGAAGTTGGTATTTACTTTCTAACACTTATATTTGTTATACTACCTCAGCTATTGTAATCAAGAACAGTATCCTCTCCAAAATGTAGAAAATAACTTTTTGTCAAAAAAAAAATAGGGTTTTTCTAAGTTATTCCCCCCAAATTATTGAATTTTTAAGCTATTGAGCATGATGGACTGCCAGCTCAGCCTGTTCAGTTATAACAAATTCTGTTATAACTTTATACAGTCAGCATAGGAGCATTAATTGGTTAGATGGTTGTAACAACCTTTAGTATAAATAGGCCTATTATTAGTTAGTTGGAAATTAATTCATTTTCTGATATTGTAATAACTCGGCATTCAAAAAAGCTGAGAATACTCTCTATTCTTCTCCTCCATTGATGGAGATAGCTTGAGCTTTAAGCTGGATTCTACTACTCTGTTATTGCGTTTTCTCATGGTATCAGAGCTTCGGATCTGGTGATTGTGCTTGTTTTTCGCTCCGCATTTTTCTGGAATCCTTGTGATTATCATTGAGGTACTTGTTCGCTCTTCTTACAGAATTTTCTTGAAGAATTGGTTGTTGATTCTGTGAAATTGATCGATTGCTTCAATTTGTTGCTGATTGCTTGTTTTTTGAATGATTCTGATGGTTGATTGTTGATATTGATCTTCTTGAATCGATTTATCTGCTTGCTTGTGTTTTTCTTTCGAATTGAAATCGATTTGTTCTTGAGTCTTTTAAGTAGAAATGGCTGCTGGAAGTTTTATTGATCCTACAACTGTGCTTGGTAGTGTGTTTTATATTCATCCTTCAGTTAATTCAAACACGAAATTGGTGAATGATTTGTTTGACGGATCTGGTTATAATAATTGGAAGAGAACGATGATGCTTGGAATTTCATCTAGAAACAAATTAGGTTTCATAGATGGATCTGTACCTCAGCCTCTTAGTACAGATCGTACTGCTAATGCGTGGCAAAGGTGTAATGATCTAGTAGTTGGTTGGTTGTTGTTCTCCTTAGATAAAAAGATTGCAAAGAGCGTGTGGTTTTATAAGACTGCTTATGAGATCTGGAAAGATTTAGAAGAAAGATTTGGGCAAACCTCTGCCACTCAGTTGTATTCTTTGCAACAAGAGCTAATAGATATCAAACAAGGGAGAGATGAACCTGTTACTGAGTTCTTTACAAGAATTAAGACTGTTTGGGATGCTATTGATTGTGAAAATCCTTTACCAGTGTGTTCTTGTGGAAATTGTTCTTGTGGTGTTAGTCAGAAAATCATTAAATCTCAGCAGGATCAGAGGTTGATGATGTTCTTGATGAAATTAGATGATAAGTTTGGAATGGTCAGGACAAATATTCTTATGATGCAACCTTTGCCTACCATAAGTTTGGCACATAGACTATGTATGCAAGAAGAAAGACATAAGGAAGTGAGTCAAGTTGCTGCAAGCATGAATTCAGAAGTTATGGCTTTTGCTGTAGATAGGAAGAGGTTCTTTGACAGGCAGGGAGACAAGGGCTACAAACAGTATAGTGGCTCTAATAATGGACAACCTATAAGGAATCAGGTTTATAATGGCAAAGGTCAAACTGGAAAAAGGGTTTCTAATTGGTATTGTGATCACTGCAAAATGGCAGGACATGGCATAGAAAGATGTTTTAAGCTCAATGGTTTTCCTCCAGGGTGGACTGGTAATGCTGTTAAGGCTAGAACAGCAAATCTTGCTAAAACTGATGGTGAGGAGAATGCTGATGTTGGTGTTGAGTTGCAAGTTCAGATGTCTAATGACCAGTATAATCAGTATCTGGCTTTTATAGGCAAGCAGGAAGGTTCTGCCACTGACTTGGATGATAGTCAGACTGCAGGATATGCTCTCTTTGCAGGTAAACTTTGTCTAATGGCTTCTTTTAGTAGCAAATGGGTTATAGACAGTGGTGCTACAGATCATATATGTCATGATTTGAGGTTTTTTTAGTCATATACCTTAATGAATGATTTAGACAATACTATTACTATACCTGATGGAAAGAGGGTAAAGATTTTGCATATAGGAACAGTGAGGCTAAATGATGATATTTTGTTACAAGATGTGTTGCATGTGCCAGGGTTTCAGTTCAATTTGATCTCTGTACATAAACTGTGCAAAGACATGAATTGTGGTGTAAATTTCACAGCTAATACTTGTACTATTCAGGGGCCACATCTGACCCAGCCACTTGTTCTTGGTGATTTGAGGGATGGTCTCTACTGCATTCAAGCTCAACAAAGTTGTGATGGTGTTGGGAAACTTGAAGAATTTTTTGACAAACATGCTGCTCATGTTTCTTCTTCTGCTGCATGTTTGAAGAATAAAGACAAGGAAGAGTCTAAGCTTTGGCATTTAAGATTTGGACACATGCCTTTTTCTAGGTTGCAATTTGTCAAGGAAAATTTGAAAGACAATTGCTTAAATGATTTTGTTTGTCAAGTTTGTCCTGTTGCCAGGCAAACAAGACTTCCATTTCCTGATAGTTGCATAAAGACTAACAGACCATTTGAGTTAGTCCATGTAAATGTATGGGGACCATACAAAACCCCTACTTACAATGGTTTCAATATGTTTCTTACAATTGTAGACGATTTTTCAAGAAATACATGGGTTTATTTGATGAAACACAAATCTGATGTTGTTCAACTTTTACAAGATTTTGTTGCTTATGCTGAAACACAGTTTAAGACTTTGGTGCTTTGTGTTAGATCTGATAATGCAAGAGAATTAACTGAAGAAGAACTCTTACAGTTTTACAATAGAAAAGGGATTGTTGTGCAAAAGAGCTGTACTGAAACTCCACAGCAAAATGGAGTAGTGGAAAGGAAACACAGGCATCTCCTGGAGACTGCCAGAGCCCTGTATTTCCAGTCAAAGTTGCCTATACAGTACTGGGGAGAGTGCTTACTTTGTGCAACTCATTTAGTGAACAGAATGCCTCTGCAGGTTTTGAAGAATGTGTCACCCTATGAGAAGCTATTTGGAGTTAGACCTCAAACAGATTATTTGAGAGTATTTGGATGTCTATGTTTTGCTTCAACAATAAAGCACCACAGAACAAAGTTTGATCCTCGAGCTCAAACTTATGTTTTTCTTGGTTATGTTCCAAATCGGAAGGCATATAAGATCTTGAATCTTCACACAAAGAAGATACAAATTTCCAGGGATGTTGTGTTTCATGAAAAACACTTTCCCTATCACTTTTCTGATGCTCCTACCACACCCTCTTCTTCCACTTTTAAGATTTATTTGCCTGTAAATACTGTTTTCAATCATTCTTTTGATTTTCCTGATATGTTTAATGTTCATACAGATATTCAGGGCATCATACCAAACCAAACACAAAACCAAACACATACCCAAACACAAACCCAAACACACACCCAAACACAAAACCAAACACAAACTCAACAACACATTCCTTCTCATAATCCATCTAGTACTTCTGATGGTTCTGATGTATTGGATTTGTCTAATTTCCCACCTCTCAGGGTTTCTGCAAGACCTACCAGAACCCCTTCATATTTGAGTGCTTATGATTGCTCAACTTCCAGAAAGGGCATAAGGAAGCATTGGTGTAATCTGGTATATTTTACTGATTTACCATCTGCGCATAAATGCTTAATTGCTTCTTCTTCTTCCTTGACAGAACCCAGTTCTTAGAAACAAGCTGCTGTAGATCCCAACTGGCAGTTAGCAATGAAAAAAGAACTTGAAGCCTTGGAGAAAAATAATACATGGGATGTTGTTGATCTTCCCCAAGGAAAGAAGCCCATTGGCTGTAAATGGGTATACAAAGTCAAGCTTAAGGCTGATGGATCTCTTGAGAGATACAAAGCTAGACTTGTTGCTAAAGGTTACAAACAGAAAGAAGGGATAGATTATCAAGAAACTTTTTCCCCTGCCATCAAGATGTCAACTGTGAGGAGTATTTTGGCTCTGGCAGCAAGCAGGAAATGGCCTATTTTTCAGCTTGATGTGAACAATGCATTTCTCCATGGAGAATTGCATGAAGAAGTTTATATGAAACTTCCAGAAGGTGTTCCTAATCCCAGCAATAAAGTCTGCAGACTCAGAAAATCCTTATATGGTCTGAAACAGGCTTCAAGACAATGGTTTGCCAAGTTGACCAGTGAGTTGGTGGCACAGGGGTTTATCCAGTCCAAGAATGATTACTCTTTGTTTCTTAAGAAAGTTGGGTCTCATATCACTTTGGTTGCTGTTTATGTAGATGATATGATAGTGACTGGCACAAACACCTCTTCAATGGCAGCCTTGAAGAAGCATCTTGATATTACCTTCCGCATCAAAGATCTTGGCTTATTGAGTTTTTTCCTTGGGATTGAAATAGGTCACACCTCTTATGGCATCACTATGACTCAACAGAAGTTTACAAAGGAACGTTTGAGTTGTGTTGATATACAGTTAGACAGGAAGGTGGTGACTCCTTTGCCTCAGAAGCTTAAACTTAGTTCTATTGAAGGGGAGTTGTTTCATGATCCTCTCCTGTACAGAAGTCTTGTAGGCAAGCTTAATTTTCTGACAAATACAAGGCCTGACTTATCTTATACAGTTCAGACTTTAAGTCAGTTTATGCAAGCCCCAAGAATTCCTCATTATCAAGCTTTGTTACATACTCTTAAGTATGTAGCCTCTACAGCAGGTCAGGGCATCTTGCTTAAAGGTTATGACAAGCTTAAACTACAGGCCTTCTCTGACAGTGATTGGGGAGCCTGTCCTGATTCTAGAAAATCTATCACAGGGTATATTTTGCTTTTGGGTGATTCTCCTATTAGCTGGAAGAGTAAGAAGCTGCCAACAACCTCTACTTCTTCATCAGAGGCTGAATATAGAGCCATGGCATCAGCTTCTTCTGAAGTTACATGGGCTGTTAGATTGCTGGAAGAGTTGGGAGTGTCTGAACTACAGCCTGTAACTCTTCACTGTGACAACCAGAGTGCCCTGCACATAGCTCGAAACCCTGTGTTTCATGAAAGAACGAAGTATATTGAAATAGATTGTCATTTTACACGTGACAAGGTTCTTGAAGGTCTTATTCAATTAAGCTATTTTCCTACTACAAGTCAGATTGCTGATGTCTTTACAAAGATCCTTCCTTCAGCTCAGTTTACAGAACTTTTGTCCAAGCTTGGAATGGTTGATACCACCCCAAGCTTGAGGGGGGGTATTGAGCATGATGGACTGCCAGCTCAGCCTGTTCAGTTATAACAAATTCTGTTATAGCTTTATACAGTCAACATAGGACCATTAATTGGTTATATGGTTGTAACAACCTTTAGTATAAATAGGCCTATTATTAGTTAGTTGGAAATTAATTCATTTTCTGATATTGTAATAACTTGGCATTCAAAAAAGCTGAGAATACTCTCTATTCTTCTCCTCCATTAATGGAGATAGCTTGAGCTTTAAGCTGGATTCTACTACTCTGTTGTTGCGTTTTCTCATAAGCTGTACCCATGCTTTTTCAAAGTTATAAGCTGTGCCCTCTACCTCATGATATTTTATCAACAATACCCTTTGACAACCATATCTGTTAACGAAAGTTAAGTTATTTCATCAACAATGGTGTCATGGTGTTTTTAATTTGACACGTGTCCCGTTCTAATTGGTTTAACACTTGAATTTTTTTTTAAAAATCAGAAAATAAAATAAGAAAAAAAAGGTTAGTGATAACGTCAAAGGTTATTGTTAACAAAATTTAGTAAGGTTGAGGGCACAACTTAGACGTTTGAAAAAGCATGGGCACAGCTTAGAAACCGAAGAAGTTTGGGGGCATAACTTAGAAAAACTCAAAAAAAATTTAGAAAGTAAAAATTCCATGTTGTAGATAAATCAAGGTCTAAGGCTTGTGGTGGATCTAGTTGTTGAAATCTTTTTATCAATATAACTCGTGAACTTAGAATTCCCATTATATTGATAAGATTCATTTGTATTTAGAGGCACCTTAAATGAAGATAGCATTACATAAATAGGTTAACCTTATAAAGCTCTTGTGAATCTATAATTAAGGGCAAGGTTCGAATGAGGAAAGCCTTAACACTTAACAGTGAACCGAGAACCTAGAGATGTGGAAGGAGCATTAGTCCATAAAATGCTTTGAGGAGCTGAAATTAAGCATAGAACTAGAGATTCCTAAATAGGTCAATCTTTTGAAATTCTGGTGAATCTATAGGCAGACAAGATACAACCTAACAATTGGAAATTTGGAATATCAGCATGCATAGCCACTTTAAATTCTGAAAAATATACAAAAGCTATGTGAGTTGGTAAGGAAGGGAGCCATTTTTTTTTTCTTCAGGTAAACAAGAAGTTACGCTAATTTTCTCTCAAGACTATACCTTAACTTATCAAAATAGAAAGAAAATTTACTATCTATAAATGGATCGATATCTTGGTGAGCTTGCATAAAATGGCCCAAAGAAGCAACATAGTATGCTCTATTACCCTCTCTATAAATGTGGCGCGAATCAATATAGGTAAAATTTCGAATCAGCTTCTTAACGCTCTCCATTAATAGTTGAATTTTCCAAGGGCATTGAACCTTTCCCTGCAAAATATTAATAATAAGCAAATTGTATCCTTCAATAAATACTTTTGAAATATTATGGGCCTACGCCAAAAGAAGACCATTACGAAGGGTCGTAGCTTTAGCAATAAGAGCAGTACTCATACCAATATTAAAAGAACGACAACAAACATTATTTCCTAAATGATATCATAGAACAATGCCTACAACCCTTGAACCATCTCGAACAAAACCATCAACATTTATTTTAATAACACTAGGGGGAGGAGGCGACCAAGAGACACGTATATTCCCAGGGGTAGGATGAGAAGGAAGAGCGAGAGCAGGAGTATCCAAAGCGAAAAGTATATATGAAGGACATAGACGGAAAGTTAGCCCCATAAGACAGAGAATGAGGAACAATCAACTCTACTTAATAGGGAAATTTTTTACTAGGGTAACATAAGTGGTTTTTACCTTCTTGACATCCACTTTTAAGTTCAGATATTTTACCGAGTATACATTTACAAGGCCTTATATAGGGTAGATAATCGAGTAATTGATTGACTAGCGGAGGTGATTCAAGTCCAATAACCCTAAGCCTTTGACGTATTATCCTAGAAGATTTAGTTGGTGTGGCCTTGCCAAGCGTAGTAGTTAATATATTTTAAAATTTTGTTTTGTCCGGGACTCAATCCTTAGTACCAAAAAAAAGGCGTTAAATAGGATGGATAATAGTATATACATCCCTTCAAAGAACCCTAATGACCTAAAACGCCTTTGATACTTCAGTAAACCTTGAGAACCAACTATAGAATATAGATCACTCATTTTGAACTTCGGTTTCATTCAAACCTTAAATGCATAATCACATCATTTAGCATAAAAAAAGCACCGACTCTTACATGTTCATAGCCAAAAAATTTACCGTTATATCACCATCAAAAGTTCAAAGCCAAAATTAGTCAAAAGATTACAAATAAATTACTCAAATAAGCATCTTTCTTGATGTCACAAATGCGTATAAAACAAAATTTAATAAAATTAGCATCTTTTTGCAGATATAATAATTAGTATGTTCTTGAAGCATGTAGAAGCACATTATAGTTGATACTTGATAGTGGCTTTCTAACTGTAGCTCCAAATCACACCCAATTATTATTTATATTTAAAATCTAATTTCCTCTAATTAACTTAAATTAAATTGACGAGATGAATCAGGGCAACCTAATCCTGGTCTAATACATGTTTGGAACAAAAAAAATTGATTAAATTCTTAATCTGCGTTGACTATCCTATAATTGCCTCGCTCATTGGTGATCTCATACGATTCTAGAGCTGGTAGCCAAGTCACACCCACGTAAGAAGTCATTAACAATTATTTTTAGGATTTAATTTTTGTAGTGTAGCAAGAGCTAGGCTAATTTTGATTCAAGGGTCACTACTCACTAGTAATAACAATAATCATTTTAACAGGAAACTAGGAGCTTTTGGTTTTCAAAAAAAAGGAAAGTTAGGGTTTGTTTGCCATCGTTTTGGTTTTCTATTGTTTTGGTTTTTTTTTTGTTTTTTAAACAGTATATGATATACAACACGTTTCTGGTGCGCCTGGTAACACAGTGCGCCAAGTTGCCATATCAGTAACCCTTCTAATAACCCCACTTAAGTAACCCCTGACTGACTTAGTAACCCCTTACCAAGTAACCCCTGACTGACCTGGTAACCCATAGTAACCCCTGACTGATTTGGTAACCCCTAGTAACCCCAAACCTAGTAACCCCTGATCAAGTAACCCCTGACCGACCTAGTAACCCCTAGTAACCCCTGACCGACCTAGTAACCCATAGTAACCCCTAACCGACCTAGTAACCCTAAGTAACCCCTAACCGACCTAGTAAGATCAAGTAACCCCTGACCGACCTAGTAAGATCAAGTAACCCCTGACCGACCTAGTAAGATCAAGTAACCCCTGACCGACCTAGTAACCCATAGTAACCCCTAACCGACCTAGTAACCCCAAGTAACCCCTAACCGACCTAGTAACCCCTAACCAAGTAACCTCAAGTAAAACCCCTAACTGACCTAGTAACCCTTAGTAACCCCCTATCTAGTAACCCCTAACCAACCTAGTAACCCTTGACCAACCTAGTAACCCCTAGTAGCCCCCGACCTAGTAACCATTAACCCACACCCAAACCCATTGTAACCACCACCATCACCACCACCACCAACTTTTCTCATTCGCCGTCCTCAAAACCTTAAACTCCACCACACCACCACCAACTCCCGTACCACTAACAACCATTAAAATTGTTTTTAAAAAAAATAATAAAAAAAAAATCGCCCAAAAAATCATCAAATTCTTCGAAAATTTTGGAGTATAACTTACCTTTGCATTTGAGAACAAATTTCTGTACGAGTTTATTGTTCTTTACCTCATTCCATTCAAATTTTCTTCAATTTGTTCTTTTGTCATAATAGGTTTCGTAGTTGCAAAAATTCTAATCAAATTGGTCAGTTCAACTTGCTTATATGTAAGTTTGACTAAAATTTGTTGAATTTGAGAAAAAGTAGAACAAAATTGCTTGAATTTTGGAGCAGTTACAATGGATTTTAGAGATAAATTGATGGTTTTAAGAGAGAGAAGATGATAGGAGTGTGAACAGTGTTTGAAGAGAGAGAAAATCAAGATGTTTTTTTTATGAGCTTGGAGAAGAAGAAAAGAGGAGAGAGAAAAAGAATTTTAAAAAATAAAAAAAATGTGGCCAGCCACATATGAAACTTTTACTTGATGTTCCATAATGAATCAAAAAATATATGAACTTATTAAAATCATGATAATTTTAAAAATTGACAACAGAAAAGTGAAAACACCTTTTTGTTGTTTCTTGTTTTTTATTTTTACAAAAAACAAGAAACTGAAAAACAAAAATGATGCCAAACAAGCCCTAAGCTTTTAAATTACTTGTACAATATACGAGTATGTTTTTGCAATCATAAAACATAATTTGGTAGAATTGTTATCTTTTTTTATTTATTTATTTAATGAAATTCCATTTTTAATTATTGTTTATTAGCAACCCTTCCAAGTGAGTAAATGTGCAAAAAAAAGTGTTAAATGTTGGACACAACCTAATTTTACTAGCATAATAAAAATAAATAAATTATGTTTATTTATTATGTAAAATGCCGTTAGAATGGTTGAGTTGTATATTTTATAAATTTTAATTTTCTATTATTTTTTTAAAAGAAACGATAGCAAAATTATTCTGAAATATTAATTAAGATCAATTTCTGCCAAAGTGGTGATATAATATAAATTTACTTTTTTACTTTTTTTTTTTGACAAAAATTAACTTTTTACTTCGTATTACTTATAATATGTGGGGGGGGGGGAATCATCCTTAAAGAATGAAAGATTTTAGGTCAAATCAGCGTGTTGGTAAATAATTTGCAATTTCGAGAAAACAATGAAAGTATATTACCATAGTTATCAAGTTTGACTATAAAGTGATCAAAGTCAATAAAATGATCATATGAATTTCAATTTGAGAAAGAAGACAATAGATTTTTGTATATAGGAGAAGCTTATCATCACTACAAATATGTTAAATCTTTGTAGTTCACATATATATTTGCATTGGTTACTACAAATAAAATTGTTAAGTTCAATTGTTCAAACACATGAACAATATGTACCTATCTATCGTAGACTTTGTAAATGTAGGTCTTCGGCTGAGAGCATGACATAAAGTTTGTCTTATCATGGTCTCATGGAAAATTACATCAATTGGTTACCTTAAGAAATGAAACTCCTATTAAATGCAAATTCGACCGTTGATTGGGGACTTGGGGTCCTTTTTAAAAATATAAAATTAAATAAATTTCACTAAATACTTCTAGTGATCTTGAGATAACAAACAAAATAAATGATCAACATAAAATGATAAATTGGAATTGGCGAAGTAGACATTGACAAGATCCTAATTCCTAACTATTCATGCAATGCATAGTTGCATTTGCGGTCCATTCTCACCGATCTTATCTAAATATAATATGGCAAATGCTCATATATATACATATAAACTCCTATATTACTTGAAATACTTATTTTGAGTGGTATTAAGATATGGAATTAATTTATATCCGTATCATTATTTTTTGTGGCTCTCTTTAAATTAAGATAGAAATAGGTCTGTTGGTTGATCAGAAGTTGTTAGTTAGAGTTTTATCATTACATTTGACATGGTAAATAATAGAGTTACATGTCTTGGTGACTACTTAAGTTGGAGCTCAGACAAATATACTCCATATTTATTTTTTGAAGCAAACATATATACTCCATATTAAAATAATCCATCTAGCTAGTTGGTGCGTCAAAGGCTCAAACAATGTCTCGGGTTGTTGCTACATCAATCAAGAGATGAAAAAATTTAGTATTAATTAGAACCAACTCAACCAAAAGTTTAAATTGATGGAAAAATCTTCTTGATATTATACTTTGATTTAAATATTATCCGATAGGATGAGTAAAACATTTCTACAGAATTAAATAAAGTGTTAGATACTGTAAACTCCTCATATTGGAGTGTTTTCCATTAATCAATATATATAGGGTTACAATCGGGAGTCCTAATCACGTTAGGAAACTCAAAAGATATTTACAAATATTCACAAAATATATCTCCTACTATAACAGAATAACTAGAATATATATCGTATATTCTATCACACCCCCGCAGTCGTAGCGGGAGGAGGGCGTACGCTGAGACTGGATCTGAACTCTAAAAATAGTTGTCGAGGTAGGCCTTTCGTGAAGATGTCGGCAAACTGATAACGAGATGGAACATGTAGGACCCGTACTTGCCCCAACGCCACCTTTTCTCGAACGAAATGAATGTCCATTTCGACGTGTTTGGTGCGTTGGTGTTGTACGGGATTATGAGATAAATATATTGCACTGACATTATCACAATAAACAACTGTAGTCTGTCGTAGTGGACAATGTAGCTCCAAAAGAAGATTACGAAGCCAACAAGCCTCGACAACAACATTTGCGACGCCCCTGTATTCTGCCTCTGCACTTGATTTAGAAAGAGTAGGTTGATGCTTCGAAGACCAGGAAATAAGATTGTCCCCAAGAAAACAACAATATCCCGAGGTCGAACGACGAGTGTCCGGGCACCCGCCCCAATCTACATCAGTATAAGTAATCAAGTTTGTAGGAGATGAAGGATATAAGTGTAACCCGTGATCAATGGTGCCCTGAATATATCGTATGATGCGTTTCAGAGCATCATAATGAGCCTGTCTGGGATCATGCATGAATAGACAAACTTGCTGAAATGCATAAGTAATATCAGGGAGAGTAAAAGTAAGGTACTGTAAAGCACCTGCAAGTCTGCGATAGAGTGTTGGATCATGAAACTGGGGTCCAGAGTCTGCACTGAGTTTGGATTGAGTATCCACTGGAGTTGCCGCAGGTTTACAACTGGCCATACCTGCGCGCTCTATAATTTCCTGTGCATATTTCTGTTGTGACAGAAACAATATATTCCTCATAATATCAAGGCTGATTCAATTTAAAAGTAGATGGTTTACCAGAATACTTCATAATAGTGAAACTTTTCCTCTTTTGACGTAGTTTTTCAGGAGATTGAATTGTACTACGTTCTACGGTACGTACTAGGGTTGATTATTCTTCACCATTTATTTTCTTAAACAAAGGATTCATGGTACTATACAATAGCTTAGGAAAGATCAAAGATACTACGTATCATTTAGAAAGTGAAATTTATTAACAAGTCCGACTTTTTGGATTATGTATCATGGTTTGATTATGCTGTAATGTTAGTAATTAACCTTGGATGACATTATAAAACTAATTTTTAAATACAAAATTTTCTTGTTTGGCTTTCAATTTAGATATTAGATGTCCAATTCCAAATTGAGATCAAATGGGGGAAGGTAAGGACGACATTTCCCTATCCGAAACAAATATAAATGACAAGGTATTCGATCAATCAAAATGGTAACATCAAGGTCACAAGATGCGTTCCCACCATATTCTTAATTGACATTTAAAGTATGTTCAAGTCTCAACGTATATACTACATTCTTCATATTTTTTTTATTTTTTTGACACACTTCATATATTATCTTATAACTAAAAAAAATACGGAGTAATAATAAACAAAAACAAAGTGTGTAAAAACGTGAGCAATTAAGCTAACAAGTAACAACTCTTAGAAGGAGTTAGAACAACGTTTACCATTTTCCATGCCTTAACTTCATATTATTAATACGAGGAACCTACTTTCAACTTTTGAATCCACATGTAAACGTTGTTCAACATACGTCATAAAATTATTGAATGAGTCGTTAGATGCAACAAATCATAGCCCACCATACCATATTCGAAGTATATATATTAAATAATAATTATCATATTAAATTTTTAAAAGACAATTATTAGTCTCTTTCTATTGTTCATATCCATAATTATATTTATATCATCCAAAAGTCTTTATTTTTATACGTATTAGCAAATTGCAAAATATAATACCAAAAAAAGACATTATGTTAACGACTTGACTTTAAAAAAATCAATGTATTTAGGAATTTTCTAGCCGATATCAAATAAAATTTACACCATAAATAAATAAATTGGATGACGACGTCTTTGTATTACCTTGAAGTTCAAGGAAATTGTATAGTGTTTTCCCTTGGTTGAAAATTCAAGGACATCTCATCTTATAAGTTACAACTTCTCTCACTTTCTCTCTCACAATTTGTGTTAAACTATACAATTGTGTCTATTTAGAATTAGTCATCAATTCTTGTGATATCACCTTAATTTCTTTTATATTTGTTAGCTAGTCAAACTGTGATCTTATTTGCAGAAGCAAGTCAAGCAACTCGATCTATGGAAATCAAGGTAATAATTAATACTCTAATATTCATTTCTTAAGTTGATAGGTTCATTTATATTTTCTTAATTGTGTTGTTATTTTCAGTGATTTCATTCAGTGTTTCTTATCATGTTTCCCTTACATCATAACAATTATAATAAAATGCATATATATATATATTATAGTATATGATCTCTCTTCCTCTATATGTATGTTATTACTTTGTCGCGAGCTAGGGGTATGTCGTATGCCCCTAGCTAGATCGAGTTTTTATATGTTGACGTTATTGATGAGATAGGTGGATTAGACCCAGACTAATATGTGAATACGTATTTGGTTGATGTATTGTCGGTATATGTTGCTTAAGAGAAAAATGATGTGATGAAATGAAGAAATAAACGAATTAATATAAGGCAATAATGATCATTAATCTGGTTGTTGGGTTGTTTGTGTAGAAAGTGGTGATGAAGTTGAACATCCATGATGACAAAGACAAGCAAAAGGCCATGAAAGCAGTCTCTTCACTTACAGGTTGGTGCTCTTTCCTTATTTTTCTTGACTCTCAAACTTTCTTTTCCTTCATGTTTTTCCAATCATTTTTTTCTCATGCGAATATAATTGTTTTTTCATTTATTGTTTAAATTTTATGCATATACTTTCCTTTGGGAAAAAACAAGTTAATCTGTCAGATAAACGAATTTTTGTTAATCTAATGACATTTTTGTAAATATATTGAAAAAGCAGGGTCATTTATTTAGTACTTTTGGTGAGTTGTCCAATTACTATTTGTTTTTTACTTTTACTGTTTGGTGTGGAAATTACACATGTACCCCTCAACTAGTATATAAAAAGACACATATACCCCCGCACTGATACTTGAAAAGACAATTATACCCTGGGATAAACAAGTTTTGTTTATCTGAGGAATTGACTGAGTATCCCTCCTTTCCTTTTCTATAACTATCAAGGTATATAAATTCATTAAATTGTGTAAAAAAAGAAATTCATATATAAGACGGGAGATGGAGTGATTTTGTTGTTTTTGTAGAAGGTCTTTTGACACGGTAGATATTGTTCATAAATTAAGATAATACAATTGAGGCAATAGTATATTTTTTTCATGGCTTAACAAAATTACAATTTACAACAATCATGTACAAGGAGTATTTTATTGATAATCATAATATTAGCTACAAAAGGTGACTGATTGGTAATATCAATAGAATATTTTGTAACATTGAATTATAAAAGTTCAATTAATAAGTTGTTGATTTAATTTAATCAAATAATATTACACTTACTTCGTACTATAATTAAGTTGTTAACAACAATAAAAACAGAGGAAAACAGGGTATGTAAAACAATGCTAATCAAAGTTTATGATGGTTAATTAATAATGCAGGGATTAATTCAGTGGAAGTAGACTTGAAGGAAAGTAAAATGACAGTGATAGGAGATGCTGATGCAGTTGACGTGGTAAGCAAGTTAAAGAAACCCTGGAATGCACAGATTGTAACAGTGGGGCCCCCTAAAGAGGAGAAAAAGGATGATAAAAAGGGTGACAAAAAAGATGATGATAAAGCCAAGAAGGAGAAGGAAGAAAAAGAGAAACAAATTGCTGAGCTTCTTAGACTTCACAGATTACATAACCCTCCTGTTTACTATTGTTATCAAACTATAGAAGATAATAATCCTAATACTTGTGTGATTTGCTAATTATGTGGATATAGTTTGCTTTAAATGGAAAAGACTTGTGATATTCGCCTGAGTTGAAACCTGTAAGGTGTAAAGCGAATGCAAGATGATTGGACGTACATGTTGTTATGCCCAGTTGTGGTACATGTTGTTATCATGTTGTTATGACCGCTCCTTGCTTCTACTTTGAATTTCGACTACTTGTATCATAACTCAAAAGTACATATTTTTCAAATGTACCTAATAAAAAGAGTTTGGAATAATACCAAGTATCTATTTTGTTGAGAAGCTTTGATTGTGATTAGTAACCGAGGTTATGTTCTTACACTCTTGCAATTGCAGCTTCTATCAAAACCATGGTTTATTAGAAAATTGTTTTACATTTGAGATCTTTCCCTTGTATATGTATGATTTATTATGTATTCATCAAAAAATTGAAGTGTGCTCAAGAGATAAGTTAGTATTCTTCATTGTGCTAGACTTCTTGCCCTAGTTGCCAAAGTGTGGCTTCTTCTTCTTCCATTTTACAATTGTATTATACTTCGTACTTATTTGTGCATAACATCCATACTAAAGTCGCATATTTTATTAATCATTGTATGTTAAAATAAAAACATGGTATCTAAAGTATCTCAAATTAACTCTATATATCTATGAAATATGGTGCAGCTCTCTCTATATAGTCAACAATTCTTTTTCCCAACTTTACTAGTCCACATATATAGGCAAGTCAATTTAAACAATACACATGATCCACAAAAATACATGTGTACAAAATCCAAGTCACTATATTAAATTAAAGATGGGAACTTTTTATAGCATATAAAGAGTACATTGCATCTAAGTATATAATGTCACAATTTAAAAATTAAAACATCTAGGAGCATATGTCAATTCTCATAAGTCATGAATGTCCTCTAGGCTAGGTTGTTGATTTAGACCACTTAATTACTAAGTGAACTTCTTCTCAATATTGAATAGGGAACAATTTATACTAAGCCGATCCAATTGTGGGTGTCGTGGGTGGATCATGTGTCAAACTTTTTACACACAAGCTTAATTGGAGTGGGGAATAACTAAGATGGTTAGAGCTACTTTTTCAGAGATTTTGAGATTGATTCCTATCACCCACCCTTACAGCTCTCTGAAGACCAAAAAAAAAAAAAAAATTAATAGGACTCCATCCATCTACCTTGATCTAACTCAATGGATCCACTAGTTTATTATAAAATTTTCAAAATAAAAAAAATATACAAAAAAGTGACCAAAAGATGATCTATTAGTTCCCTACTTGGATCAATCCGAGAACCAACCCCCCGAATTTGTAATTAATATTGGTTTGGTCCAATTCATTGGCCCAACCAAAACTAACCGGACTACCCATTTGTGTAAGCCTTTTCTAAGCTGTAAGATAAAACGGGCCAGGCCCAGTATCCAGCCCAAGATCCAATAAGAAAGTTAAGGAGCCCATAAGAAGAAAGACAAGTGTCCAAAATTGCCACCAAGAAAATCAAACAGTTCCTAACAAGACTTCAATTATTCGAAGGAAAAAATTAAATAATAATAAATAAGTAGAATAAAAAGGGAAGTAATTATGTGATCCATATCTACACAAAAAATGACAAAGTTCATGTGTTGTCTTCACATGATTTTTCAAGGATAATCATCTCAATTAGCAATTAAAACCGACTTCTAGAGACACCACAAACCTTTAAAAGTTTATAACATAATAATGTTTCACAAAGTGCTTAAACTTTTGTTCTTTTCCTTGAATTTCTTCTTGTTTATATTTACTATACCCATATAAAATTGTAAAGTAGGCAAAAGACGATGCAGTACCTAAAAGAAATATTTAGATCTTAGTCAAATAATTAACCATAAATATAAATGATAAGATAGTTTAATTAAATAGAACAGCCAATTAAATTCCATCTTTCACATCATTATGTGTTGTTTAGCTTCCATTTTCTTTGCTCAATTGTCTTTGTCTGTTTATGCTTCAAATTAAATTAAAACTGTGTCATTTTTATGCAATGGTTGGTAGCGTAGGATACACCTACTTTATCTTTTCATAGCTGTAACTTGTCTTACGTACTTCGGGCCTTAATAATGCATGAAATATGCATTATGAGTTTATGATCTTCTGTGCATGCACATACATACATGGTATCTTGGTATCAAGCTAATTAAGAGCGATTTGTACTTGTAAGAAATTAGTACTACCAGTTGTGCATGAATGTTTTTGGTGGTTGGATGGATTATACCACGTGAGAAGTGACAATGCTCATTACAGTTAATGGATATCTGATAATATGATCGATCCACTTGTTTAGCTTAATACAAACATTTTTTTAGAGCTAACTATGAGTTGAAATAGTAGAGAGTTATTTTTTTATTTATTTATTTTGCAGTTTTCTTAATATGAAAATAATTTGACACATATTAGTCACTCAACCCTAGAAAAGAGACAAATTAAAGTGCTATGTAGTGAAAGATGTGTATTGTGTACTAAGCTAGTATCATTCCAAGGCAGAGAATCAGATGATTTTGTTCTTTTGAATTATTTAATTTGCAGCTAGTTTGTTACAATTTGTGGTAGTATATTTACATAGTACAAAATGAGATATGAGTTAATCAATCAATCAATTTCAATCATTAAATTTCCTTTGATTGCTTGATAACATTACAATGAATATTTTTTTCTAAGGAGATTACAAAATACATTTTTTTTTTTTTTTTTTGTAATCTCCTACTCTCATTACTAGATACAAACAAATGATCATAAATTTTACAATTCAGTTATGCACACAAAGTCACAAAAGATAAATAATCTCTATACTATAAACATTATGATCAATTTTATTTTTCCAAATGATACACTTTAAACCATGTTAATTAAAACAACTAATTAAGTCTGAGCTCGAACGAGGGGAGACATGGGTGAGTGTGGAGATCCATGTTGTGATGAAACTCCCATCAAATCCTCCAACCTTCGAGATGATATTCTGAGCTGAAGATTGGATTGCCAGCACTTCCTTTTCGCGGCACCAGAAGATTTAGGCTTAGCCACCTTCTGTGCCGCGAATGTCCTAATCCTTTTCAATGCCACCTCCATTGTCTCATCATCCATGTTAGCAATACAAACCCTGAACCAACCTGGCTCATGGCAATGGAACGAACAACCCGGCGACACATTGATCTTCACTTCGTTGATGATTACTCGCCACAAGGCTAGCTCTCCTTCCATCGTTAGATCTTGCTCGATGAGTGGTCGTAAGTTCATCCACACAAAAAGTCCTGCATTACTCTTTAAGCACTTAATTCCTACTTGGTTTAGCCCCCAAGTGAATAAATTGTGCCTTGTTTCGAGTCTTTTGCTACTTTCGACCAGAAACTTCTCGACAAACTCCTCATCTGATAGCATCGAGGCTATTAGCAGTTGTGTTTGAGCCGAAACTAGCCCGAAACTCGACATTTTTCTTGCAACATTTACAACTTTATCGTTGTAAGAGTACACAATCCCTACTCTAAACCCTGGAAAACCTAAATCTTTTGATAGACTGTAAACGATATGGATTAAATCCGGGTTGTGGTCTTGTTCGAGCATGATCTCCGCTATGCTGACGAAATTTGGATATCCAAAGACAGTGGCACCATAAATTTCGTCACATACTAAGTGAATGTTTTTCTCATTGGTGAAGGCTAATATGCTTGATAAGGTCTCTCTGTCTAGGACTGTGCCGAGTGGGTTCGAAGGGTTTGTTATTAGTACACCTTCTACTATAATGTTGTCTTCTTGAGCTTTGTTATATGCTTCTTCCAACGATTTTCGAGTCACTTTGAAGTTATTCGAGCTATGACATTCAACTGGGACAAGTTCCACCCCTGTTCTCCACCTTAAATCACGATCAAATCTGCAAAATTCGTGAATAAAACATAATTAGTTCACATGAAATAATTTATCGGACCCTCTAGGTAGACCTAGTAAAGTACAAATAATAATTAGACCGTCTAGTTATTAGAGAGAATCTTGATTTTTTATGAGAATATTCTCGATCATGCATAACTTTGACTAGTTATGTGTAGAATTTTCGTTAATGTAAAAGAAGACGAGTATAATAAAATGTGTCCAAGTGTACGTACCCAGGATAGTAAGGTGTAGGAACGAGGAACGCTTCACCAGGGTTAGCCAAACAAAATGCCATTAATTCATGGGCTCCAGTAGCTCCACCACTCATTACTATACGATCAGGATCAAATGTCACCTTATTTCCTCTCACTCTCTCCATGAAACTTGCTACAGCCTGTTAAAAAAAAACAAAATAATCAATAATTAGTCACAAATTAACCAAATTAATCATGAATTATATTTAAATAATATTTAATCTATAGTATATGGCTGCTATGTTTAGTCAAAGTGTGACGTGGAATTCCAATGTAATTTATAAAATTACTTCATTGGTGAGAGCTACTCGAGTTGGACTTGGCCAAAACTTGACTCGAATCAAGTTCGACTTTGGTTTAATATTATAAATTTAAGTTAGACTCGACTTAACTTGACTCGTAATAATTTGACCAATGAGGATGAGAATAGAAAATTACATTTCTAAAAGCTGGCAGACCATGGTAGTCTTGAAAGATGGCAATATCCTGAAATTGTTCAATTCCTTCAGCAGTACAAATGGAAGCACCAGGATTTTTCAGAATCCACTCTTTCACCAAATCAAAAGAAAGCTGCAATTTTAAAAAATAAATAATATTAATCAATATTTTCACAAGTCAATAAATTCCATAATATTCAATGTTGACAATATTTATAAAAAATGAAAAATAAATAAATAGTCATAATCAGATTATTAAGAGAAGGATTAGCAGACAATTATTACCTGATTTTCAGCAAGACCCATCTGAATAACACCAGTAGGATTATTAGCAGGGTGAAAAGGGTCATTTTCATAGGCTTTCCACCCATCAAAATAGGCAGATTCTTCACCATGCCCATTTCCAGCAGCAATTCTTGACAACAATTCAGCCACCATTATCTTGAATTTATATACTCAAATGACAATTTTACCCTTGAAAGGCTTAAATTCACAAGAAATAAAAGTTTCCTTATTTAGAAGTAAGTAAATACAGTTGTTTTTTTTGTGGCTTAATTTGTAAAAACAGAAGCAAATGAGGGTGCTATTTATAGGGGTGGAAAAGGCAGGGGAATGAAATATAATTGATGATGTTTGAAAGATCGTTTAAAAAATTAGCTGGCACTTGAAATATGTTTTGAATTAGTTGGACATTAATGTTTGGAGTTGGTAATACTCTCTATATATTAGTATATTTATACTAGTAGCTAGCTTAGTATAAACTAAACTACTTTTATTATTGGTTTCTTAAGAGTTAACAGGAAGTTTCGTTTTGTGGGGACCTCTCTTAATCCTTTAGGGTTGTGGAGGTGCTACAATAAGAGGATCTGATCTCAATTTTTTTTTTTTAAAAAAAAAAAAAAAGACGAGTGTACTTTAATTTTATCGGTGATTATGTGAGACAAATCCTGCAGCAGACTTTATAGTGATTATATTGTATTGTAATTGATTGTGTTTGTTTTCTTTTTGTAATGGTATATGTTTTTTGAACTATTCGCTTTGAGGTTAAATAGCAATAATAATCTTGGTTTTAGTCGTCAAATTTGATTCAAATTTGGATAGATAAGAATAGTTTAGACCTTAAGAGAATGTAATGAGGTTGTTTGACTAGGAAAACTTAACCAAAGTATTTTTAATTTTAACACAACATTTAACTAGTCAAACATAAAAGATTCAAATTAGTGTGCAATGCCAGACCATTTTCACTTGGGTTGAAAAATTGCATGTTCAACATTTGAGCATTTATGGTGAGACAACTAGTACTAGTCTACCATAGAGGCCTTGACTCTTTTCACTCTTGAAATTTTATTGGGAAATTATAGGAAATCAGGCGGAGCTTACTAAGAAAGCTTCAACCCAAAACATACATACAAGTAAATTGCGAGTTTGCAACAATAATATATGGAGATCCTTTTGGCAATCAATAATTATTTTTAAAATAAATTTCCTATATAATTAATAAAAAGTAAATTTGATGATTTAAAAGTATATATATTAAAATGGATAATAAAAAATGAAAGTGGAATATCAGAATAAAGTAAAAGTTCAAACTAAATAAACTAAAATGATGGATAAATGCTCCATATGTAGAAAGCTCAAGTTTTTACTCTTACTTTTAAAGATTAGATGACGTAAAAATATTTTCTTTCAATTTAGAAATAGTCAATAGGGAAAAGCCAACAAACGCTCTGGAGACGTTGGATAAGATAACTAAAAGTATAAATATTAACTACACCGATCGATGCAATGAAAATCCCAAATTAATACCATTTTAGGAATAATTTTAAAGGGTTATCAACGACACATACGTTCGTTTGCAAGATCATAATCAATAATGTATTAGGTTATTATCTTCTCAAAAGAAAATGTATTAGGTTATTACATAGATAACATTCATAACAACATGCATGAAATAAATGAACAATGGACCTTTTTTTAATTAGTCTTGAAACTAATAAGGAGTATTTTTTTTTCAATAGAAAACATATAAGAGTACAATTTACAAATCTCAATGTTTCAATCTACATGTTCAAATGTTTGAATAAGATTAAACAAGGATATATTGTACATAACTCTCTACTAGAGACCAAATGTTCTTGGAAACATAATTTGACAAGCCCAGTGAGTTGGTTTTTTTAGTATAATAAGTATGTAATCGATTCTAGTAAGATGGATGGAGTTAAAAAAAAAAAAAATATTACAAACATTTAAAAAAAAAAAATCGAATTTGCAGGTTTTGAGCTCATCATGTATACAAATAAATCTCAAACTTTATAGATAAATTAATTTAATTTGTAATAAATGAGCATTGACCGAAATTATTTACACATGCACGTACGGAAATATATTTGCCACCCTGAAAAATCTTTACGACAGAAATCTCCTAACCAACCGGAAATAGCCTAGAAAGAATTGTTTCATAAATAATGGAAATCCTCCAAACTTTAGAGTGGGACATAAATTTATTTCTTTATTTAATTTTTCCGAGTAAGTTGAATAATTAGCATTTTGTATATTTATTACACACGTACACACTATTATCTTATTTAAAAGTTGCACGAATAATACCAAGACAACCTAGATATACATTGCACGGTTGTCTGCTTAATCTTAGATAATTTCCTTTTTTATAAAAACAATTTGGTAATTGGTTTCCCCTTTATTGTGGCACAAACAAGATAATTAACATTTTTAACGTGTAATAAAACATTTCTGCCAAACTTTACTGCTAAAATTGAAATTTATTTAACTTTTAGTTGTTTTAATTTGTGGGTTTATGTTTATTTTTATTTTGATACTCGTAACTCGTTTACAGAAATCAGAATTGTTGAGTAAATCGTGTGTGTAAATGTCGACGTCAATTACATGCAGATATATGACTAGATTCAGCCCCCAATAAAAACATTCTTCTTTTTTATGGTCGATAAGTTCGGCAAAAATTCAATATCATGAAAAAAAAGTGTCAAAGATTATAGTCTGCTGCTTTATATACTATGATCAAGAAACAAATTAAACAACCAGTAATTCACATGAAATAAACATGTATTCTAAAATACTCTTAGCATTTTAAAGATAAGGTCGCATCCTCTACTATATACTTACCTTCGTTTTTTATTAGTTGACACGTATTCCTTTTTAGAAGTTTTTTTTAGTTGACACGTTTCTTTTTTGGGTAAGTTTTATACCTTGCTTTTTAAGTATACCTCACTTGCTTTATCATTCTCTCTCACTCTCTCTCCTCTCCTTAATATGTGTGCCTAAATTGAACGTGTCACTAAACTAAATAGAAACGGAGGAAGTATTAATAGGCTAATAGCCACATATTCACGTTAATAGTGAATTTGAACTATAAATACGGAATATAATACGGCGTATATGATACAGAGTAATGAATTTTGGATGAAGTGGGTAGTATTATAAAGAGTTTTGAATGAGTAATAATGTGATAATTTTATGTAATTTTTCTATTTTTAATAAATGTAACACCTTAGTTGCCAATAATTTGTCAACATACACAGTACATAATGTTGACCGATAAAATATTTACTACCTCCATTTCTTATTATGTGTAACAAAATAATATTTTATATCTCGAAAATAATACCCCTTTGTTGCACATAATAAGAAACGGAGGTAGTAATTGTATATAGGTAAAATATAATGCTAATATAATAATTTGAAATATAATACTCTTATCGACTTCATCTACCCTCCCTTATCTCCAAATTCCACAGTTCAACATTGTTCTTTTTAAGTAGATAGTTTTTTACAAATTTTTTTATCGGCTTTTAGCTCTTATAGTCTTATCATTTTTGTTAGCAGTTTAATATTTTAGATGATTGTGTTAGTCCTTGGCTGATTTGACCAATTCATTGTGTATATTGAATATTTAGTACAAGTATTTAGTAATAACGTGGTAGGGATTTACTATGTTTTTTTTATTATATTTACTATTTTTTATTATTCTTTTTCTCATGTATATGTGTATAATGTGTAAACTGAATAATAAGGTTATTGGGATAATTTATTATGGCTAGTTAAGGAGAACTATTCTGTAAGAAATACTATGTATGAAGTAGTAAATTAATCTTTTGAACCAAACAATCTTATTAGGGGTTTTGGACTAGGCATACCTTAATTTTGTTCCAAAAGCCTAGCTCTATTATCACTCTGAATGTTTCTCAACCAAACACCCCAAAACTAAAATTATGTTTGATTTGATTTAAATGAAAAACGTTTTATTTGACTATTATCTTCTTGAGAATTGGTTTTGGCTTTTTATCTATAACAAAGTTGGTAATTTTTTAGAGTAAAAACCAAATACTGACTTTCACCAAACACGTAATGACTAATTTTATTAGCTAATTCAAATAAGAAACAACATCAACCAGCATAAATATTGAATACAAATGAACAACCTATCAAATCAGATTAGCACATTCAACAACTGCTTGTCAATTAAACTCATCGTTGAAGGGGGGCTCATATAAGTTGAAAAAAGTATATCCATAATTTGAATTATACTAATAGAAAGTTTACTATTCAATAATAATACATAAAAGCTAGCATAATATGAAAATTATATGCATGAGAAAATACACATGTAAAAGGTCAATATGCACATGGGAGGCCAATTTTAATTTGCTTGTCAAAGATGGAAATATTCCTTGGTAAGCAATTTTAGTCTAAGACTTCAAATTCAACCTGTAAACGTCGACCATTTTTAGCAGACTTTGCGTATCTAATACAGTAATTAATATATAGTGTAACACCCTAAATAAAAAGTCGTATTTCCCCTACTCAGTCTTCTTTCAATTTATTTTTGTCAGGGTATATTTAGTGTTTGACGACACAAAAGCAAGTCAGCCGTAGTGCATGCTCATCTACGCTCATGTAACTTTACAAATCCAAGCAGCATCATGTATATATGTAGAAAATTCAACTCGTAATGGATAAAGGCAAGAAGATCTTGTTTCATAAGTTTCAATCCTTTCAGTTACACACTTAAACACATCTAGCTATAGAGAAGTTAATAGCCTGCAAATTATATAGTCTTATTGGCCCTTTTTCAGATACATACCAGTAGTTCGTTAATTTTTCTACTTTCTTAACGAACTACGAGTATAATAGATTTGGTCTTAGTTTTGAGAAAACATAGACCTAAATCACCTAGTAATATTCGTGTATCTATCTTTTTTTAAAAAAAAATTACTTTTATAAGATCAATATAGTAGGTACGTATGGCGATATAGGCATATATTTTTTAGTAGGAATGAAGTAGCTGTTCATTTATCAGATCAATTATGTATTTATATTTAAAACCTCGTGTATGTATATTCAATCTGAATTAGTGGACAAGCCCCTATACATACATACATAAAAGAAAGAAAAGATAAGAGAATCCTGGCGGCCTCTCCCTGGAATGACACTAGTAGAAAATGGACATATCATCCAAAACCAATTAGCAATTACTACTTGCCAATATAATAAGCATATGCTTTGATTTTGTTCTTCAGCAAACCAAAAGTTCTTTTGACTAGAAGAAATATACGATATATATTATATGTAGACCTTCTGGAGGTGCATATATTATCATTATGTCACATCACACTTCACACACATAAAACAATTTTTTACTTCAATATATTCCTTTTTTTTTTTTTTTTTTTTTTTAATTGTAACATTGCGTTATTGCTGACGAATTAAGGTCACCAGTAGTCCAATGCAATGAAATTTACAAGAGAGAAGGGTTTTTATGGCTTCATATTGCAGTGGGAGATATGTCTTTATTAGGAAGGAATTTCTTTTCTTTCTTTCACGTAATATTCTTTTGAAGAGTTGAAACTAAAGCTAGGGTATCCTTTTGTTTCAAAATGGTCCATATTATGGCCAGCTGTTCTACGGAGACTGTAGTACAATACTAACTTTTAAGATAGTACGATACATTGATATTAAACCCCTCATAATCTTGACTTATACTACGTCTTATAAGACCTGTGATTTTTATTAATGGTTGTGTAATGACTCGTCAACTTTTACAACTTGCTTAGCTTGATAGCATGAAGGTAGATGGAAAATAAAAGATTGAAAAGTAAATTAAAATTGTCTCATGGTTGATTGAGGAAACATTTGATACCGTATATTGCAATTGATATGAAAAGACAGCTATCTTTAATACATATAAAGTACGGAGTAACTTTTTTTCTTTAATAGTACTTCGTATCTTTTTAAAATCGAATAGTACAATAAGATATTATTAATACTACCTCCGATTTTTTTTTAGTTGCAACTTTAGAATATTTTATACTCTATATCTCTTAAATAATACCCTAAAGTTGTAACAAACAAAAATCGGAGGTAGTAACATTAAATCATTAGGTTCATGAAATCATATACTCTATAATAAACCGACCAAAGAAAATGAATTTCCCAATTATAATTTCAATTCCTAGCTAGCTAGCTACCATTTAAAACAAACCACAATTCTAGTTACATTCCAAACCACAATTCTAGTTACATTCCAATATTTTCTTTTTCCTTCACTTGCTCCTTCTTCTCACCCTTTATTTTTCAATACCCTTGAAGAACTAAATAAGTTGTTAATACCATAGTTATTAAAATTAGGATTCAAATCTTTGAATTTTGCCATTTATAATTCATGTATAGCCATACAATTCAACATATTTCTCTTAACTAATGAAAATTTGACAAATCTAAAATAAGCTTAAAAAACATTAATACAATAATCATATATTGTCTCTTTTTACTACAAAATTGAATCATGATTTTGATAACTTTAGTCGATACCTTTTCTCCAACCTTACTATCAAATTCATACCAATGATACCACTTTCTGTCGTTCTTAAGAGGGTTGTCACTTAATTACTCCGTACCAATCTAAAATTCACGAGGACACTCACTTAAGTACAAAAAGTGGATGGTGGTTAATGTTACATTTCTAAGGTGTATAAAACAGGAAATCATACATAAAACTTTTGAGTCCATCGTTGTATTATATTACTTGGTATTTGTACGTATAGGAGAAATTTGGCATTATCTCTTCACACGTCGCATTATAAATGTACATTCGATGACAAAACTTAAAGTGGGTTGTTTGGGAGCTAACCCATTGATAAGCTTGTTGGGACACACACACATTTACAATGTCAATTCACGTCACTTTCGTAGGGTCACAAATCTCACACTACAAAAAAGGGTGTTTGAAGGAAATTGGCCAAATTAATGGTCATTTTAGCCACGCAGATGACACGGCTTAAAAGTTAATAGAGAGTACCATTAATATGCTTAAGGCTTACTCATTCAAACTTACATTTATCATGCACAACAGTTATTGTTGCACTAACATTTTATACTAGTATTTTTAATAACATTATACTGTACTACTTTGACATGCAAATGATGCAACGTATGATACTATGATATATATCACGAAGTATAATTTATTAGGGATTTAATCATATGTGAGTTGAGATTAAGGGCCTGTTCTAATGAGATTAATTTCAGCTCAGATCATTTCAGCTCTAATAAGTTCAGTTCAGTTCAGTTCAGTTCAGTTCAAGTCTAATAAATTTAGTTTAGTTCAGTTCACTTCAATTCAGCTCAGTCAATGAGAACTGGCCCTAACGGTCTCATATTCCGTATAGAATAATATAGAGAGAATTATTACTCTATATATGATACGAAGTATATCACTCTTGATTTTAGATTGATACTTGGTTGAGTTCGTTTATATATACTCATATTCTCCTTCGGCCTAGATCATGATATAAATTGCTGGCATAGGCGCATTGCGCATAGTAGATAATTGTAGGATTTGTAAGCCTAAACTTTCACGGCGTAGGGTTGGCAATGAATAGCTAAATATACTCATGTTTGTTATCCAAAAAGTTCAGTAAGATCATGAGGTGGTGAAATTTTTTTTACTGATATTCAACAGTCCATATTTAAATTATGCGAAGTAATTAAGAAACATTTTGTTTACTCCATAAGTGTTATATATATGCTATTTTGTGTAATTTAAAAAGCGAATTTTAATTACAAACTTAGCTTCATCTTAAAGAATGTGTGTTCATTCTACACACAGATATAAGCACAAAGGCCGGAAAATATAATAAGAGTGTAAAATTATACGTACCTCATTACATATATTTACATGTTGCTTGGAAATTGTCATGAAATTTAATTTCAATTAGATTGCATCAAGTTTAATCAAAGATAATGAGTCAAATGTTGCTTAAGGTTGTGTCAGTCCAACATCAACATGTACTTGTTTATCACCAAAAATGACTATAATTAAGATGTGTATGTACATATCCAAACATGGTTTGAAATCTAGCTTAAACTCCATTTCATTTCACATGCCCCCCCACCAAAATACAATCACGCATTTGACTTTTCAAGATGTTAACTTCTTATGTTTGACATTTACTTGTTCAAGCGATTATATATTTATATTGATAATTGATTTATGATACAATAACAGCCTTAGAAATTCAATTCAGCAAAATTTCAACAGCAAAAAAAAAAATCAATGATAGTTAAATTTGTCTCTAGTTCTCGACTAATTATTTTGGTCAATTAGCTAGATTAGTAAATAAATTAAGATATACATATATGTGGGATGCATACAAGTGAAGCAATAAGTGATACTCCAATTTAAAAAATACACCTAAATAATGTCAACTTCTATTTTATTATACACGTAAGTTGTTGAATTTTAATCATAGATTAGTTCTTTGTTTTGATAAATTGTGTCCCAACAACAATTTTAGTCTTTTAATTTGGCAGGTGGCTCTTTGTTTACTATTTGATCCTGGTTTTTGTCGGCGAAACCGAAACCAGAAACCAGTCACAGACTTAGACATGTAGCTGCTACACAATACACTGTTAGTATTAGATTGATACATGAATGCATCAAGCCTTCGTTGAATGAAGGTCGAGATAAAAATGTTTAAACATGAACTGTTTAAACGCTATACAAGATAATTTGCAAGTTATATTCACCAAAAACCTACCAAAAGAAACATATCACACATAAGATTTTTCAATAGTGATGTTGATCTTCTAATTGTGGTTCATGATGGTTCCTTTACTTTTTCATCAATAGAACCACTGTATGAGCTGCAATACTTCTATTTTCTCCGAGACTATCAACCTTCTCATGGGTTTTCGCTTTCAGATTCAAGACGGAGGTATCAACCCCGAGCAGAGCAGACAAGTTGGCCTTGATTGCTTCCTTGTGTGGGCTAACTTTAGGTCTTTGAAGAATTAAGGTGGCGTCTAAATTGCCAAGCTCATACCCAGCCTCGTCCATTAGTCTTACCTGTTGTTACAAAATTTAGAGCATAAGCATAACTTAACCATATCAAGGAACTCCAGCATCATTGCCTCAAATAGAAATGCAAGTAGACAAATCATGCAGGAGTTAATAATAACACTATATACAGTTTTCCCTTGTTAGTTGCTCAACTATTACACAATAATTGGACCACTTGGAAATGATGATACTAAATGTACCACCATGTCAGAGTGGCCCCTTCAGTGTAATCGCCAATCAATCACAAAGGAAAAGAACAAAAAATGGTAGAAAAATTAAGGATTGGGCAAATATAGCTTGGGACCATAACTATTGAAAAAAAAATCATGAGATATTCTCATTTTAGAGTCTTAACCACAAAGTTAGAGGTTTGTAGTTCTTCAAATGGCATCACCAAAGGTTGGCCACTCCTACTCTTGCCACGTACACCGGTTAAGCTAATTGGATAATAGGATGGCCATTTCTCCAATTGTTGACTAATGGCTACATGTACAAATTAACTTCAGAGAGTCTCACATGTAAAAGTTCAAAAGGTTGGTTGGGGGTGGGGCAATGGCAGAGTGACAGTGTGTGTGTGTAGAAGGGGACGAACGCGGCGGCATCACAGTGTTGAAAAGAGGGCTACTTCGCCCACTTGCAACGACAAGTGTCACTAGCTGAAAACCACAAAAAATTTATTGCATTTCTCCTACTGGTACATTTTTGTCGTCGTTTTGCCTTCTTTTAGCCAAGATAGGTCATTTTGTAGCCAAGCTACCAAAATTGGTAGCCTACTTTCTCTATAATGGCAAGGAGTGTACAAGTCAGTGAAGTGCTCATAAATGCCATGTCCCTTCTAATCAGTGTAATAAGCTGGTGGGGTACTAATATGCTCTAAGGTAAAGATAAAGAAAATTTGTAATAACTCCGATAAGAAACTGCAAGCGTACCATTCAAGGACATGAAGTGGGCAGACTGGACACTATCCTGCTTAAGCATAATCTTGGAATATATCTATCAAGGAACTAACTCACATAAGAAGTATACTGTCACTTCTATCAGTCAATTTATTCAAGCTTTCACACTTTTAGCCCACTCCCCACTGCATCACTTACTAACACATCCGATTTTGTAAAATATAGTCATTTCACCTAGATGTCCAGGCTTCCTATCTGGTAATGCAACAATGCAGTTTTCATTGCCAGTTAAACATAATAAACAAACAAACAAATAAACAAGAGATGAAAATCTGTACTAGGATCTATAAACCCAATATCCCATTGCCATAGGCTGTGCAAGCTACAGCAAGTTTCAGCTTACCTAGGGTATTATGCAATATGCTACCCTTTGTAAGTGTAAAAATGAAACATAGCATATTGGCAGTGATAAATTTACTTTTAGTATAATCAAAGGATAAAGTTTCATTACTTAGCCTCACCTAAAATCTCGTCTATTAGTGCCATCTTGAAGCACTATTTACCAACAGCAGAACAGTAATAGGATTTAAGGGAAGTCCTAAGTTTGTAAAAATATGTCATGCACAGGGGCGGACTTGGCCTTGTGCCTGGTGGGTCAAATGACTCACCAGGGCCCAAAAAAATTTCTAAGTCTTTTTAAAAAAAAAAAAAAAATAAATAAATAAATAAATATTAGTTTGTTAATTTTAGTCTTGTCAATTTTAAGCTTGTTAAATGTTAGTTAGTATTGTAATCTTGTCAATTTTCTATTTGGATGATCTTTGTAAATAATTTTTTTTGGGAATTTTGGTAAAAAAAATTTTTTTACATATTTGGTTATCGATTGTGAGTTTGTGACTCACCGGTCAGAAATTCTTGGGTCCGCCACTGGTCATGCACAAGAAACAGTCAATATCAAGATTAAACACCAGTAATCCATCTCATCTACTATAAGGGCATTGGGGAAAATCTGTTAGGAGTCCAAATTATCACTGAGTAATAAATCTAAGATGTATCACCGAGTATGACAGCAAAATCAAATGCAAAAGTACAGCATCAGCATGCCTACGTTTGATCTACTTGATTCTCTTTACAAATGATCCACTAAAATTCTAAACTAGCAGTCAGTAAAGTTAATGAAACAACATCCAAAACTAATCATCAAGAATTTGTATCCCTAAAGTTGATCAACTTAGATTTCTGACTTATTGTGTACTTAACTTTTCTATACTCCTCAATTTAACCAGAAAAGTTTCTAAGACACCAAATCTCACCTTACATAAGATTGCATCGCCATTCGGCACATAAAGTTGTCACTTCAATAGTTCAATGAATAAAAAATATTTGCTGCTAAATCATCTAACAGGTGAGATAATGGATTTACTACATTCGTGACAGCCACAAAATGCGTGTCTCAAAACTCTCAATGCCTCATGTCTCTGTCATCTACTTGACTTAGTTAAGGTCCTCCTTAGCTTATAGCCCAACTCATGTGAATATTTATTCTTGTTAGTATTGGTCTTCCAGCCCATCTCACTCTTTTATTCTTTCCATTTTTTCCCTTGTGGCTGTACATATATTTTTTTGTACTAAAAGAATAGTTACTTTAATGGTGATTTTCTTCATCCCATACAATCGATTTTCTTCATCTAATTTTGCTAATTTATTTGCTACATGCCTCTTATAAGCATTTGGACTGAATAGACTCCCCTCTCCATCTAATTAAGTTCAATTATTAACCTAACTTCAAATCACACAAAAATCACATTCTGTTCTTTCTAGTCTTTAGTTCTTTACCAAGTGATTTATATCAACTACCCTCCAGCCCCCTCAATCAGTCAATCACCCCCCCCCAACACAAACACACACACACACACACAACCCCCCCACCCCCCACAAAAAAATTAAAAATAAAAAATAAAATAAAATGAAAAGTATTTGCATTTTGCAAAATGAAAAATGAACCACAGTGAAAATAATGCCAGGTTAATAACATTAATATCGACCAGATCATATACTTACACAATTAATCTATGCTGAAAGCTGACCATCCCAACTACAGCCTAGCTACTGTTCTACTAATGTGCCTAACTGTCACTGGTGGAGGAGGTCTTATGTAATTTCTTAAGGACAAAACAAATCAGGAGTTGTAATGGTAACATTTGTAAAACCCGGCTCAAAAGTTCGCCAAGCAGCAATAGGAGAGGTGTATGGACTGGGGTAGCATGTTCACATTCTGGCTAAATATATACAGACCAAAAGACATTTTATCCAGTCTGTGACTTAGGAATGACCTGATAGATAGGTATGCACACTACTTCCAAGGAAATCTTTCTGTTTCTGCCTATTGCACAAAACAAGGATGATTACTCAGAGGCCATCAATTCACCTACTCACCCTCGCTGTTCAGCTATCGTTCAATTGATACAAAACCATTAGTTAACACAATAGCATAAGGGCTCCGACAAAAATGCTTATTTATGCAGGGTCATTCGAGAAAACATCCCTAATACAACTCTACTGACCAAGTTAATCAGATACCCTGCTTCTTTGGTGTCAGATTCAGCAGCAACGATAGCTACAAATTACAGCAAGAGATAGCATCCTCGAAAAAGTAGCAATGGTAATGCGGGGCACACTTTATACGTTTATATCCTTGATTCAACAATCAGCAAAATCGAATCCAAAGAGCCTAAGATAATACCCTTCCCCCCTACTTGTTCAGAAGGAGCCTTCAAGGCTTTATATGGATGGAAACCAAGTAAACTTTTGTGACCATTGTAAGATTGATTATAAATAACAGAAAGGCGCTTCAAACTCTATGATTATCTACCTGAACTCATGGCAGGAAAGAGTACAAGGCTTGCTGCATATTTCAGAATTACACTGGATCATGATGACACTTTTTCAACCTTAGATTAAGTAACAAATTCAGCACCAAATCTCATACTACAGCAACAGTGACATGCCAAGATCTCTCCACACCACTAGTGTCACAAGGAGAAGAAACTTCCACGGATTTCTAAAAAGATAAAAAAGCTTGCCTTTTGACACAACTCCTACTGGCTCATATATAGTGGGCAACATACTACATTACTATTCGTTTATCTCAGTTCAACTCTTACATTAAGATAACACATCCTGACAACCATATTACAATACCAAATAGAATAGAAACCAAAATCCACTGGTCAGCTCATTTATTGACATTATTTTGAACAAAGTTCTTCGTGTGCCTGATTTTCCTTACAAATCTCACCTCCAAATTCCACCTCACCCTGCAATTAATGAGGCCTATTAATCACTCGAATCATTCTCTGCTCCTGTCAATTCAAGTCTCACACCTATCAGGATATCGTTCCTTGATTAATACTTAGGCTATCGAAGCAATTTGGTGCAAAATTATACAGTTTCCGCAGTTTCCTGTCACTCACAATGCCTTAGTATCATGCATTGGTTCCTGCAGAGAACCTACAACTAAAGCCTTACAAGACCTTTGAAGGTTCGATGCAATGCAAAAGGGTTAGATGCACTGGAATGCACAAGTTAACAACCCCCCAGCAGGCAAAAGACCCATGGATTGCCAGTGGGTAATTTTAAAATTAAGCTTAAGCCAGACAGAAACATTGAAAAGGTTAAAAGCAAGGTTATTGGCACTCAAAGCTGCTGGAACTGAATTCCAAATAATTTTTCGCCCTGAATTAATACGTCAATTATCAAGTGCGTAATAGTGTTATTACAGCATCAAGGGGGTGGAGACAAGAGTTTAAACCAATTGTATGTAACTAACACCCTGCTATAAGGAGAATTGCATGAGGAAGTTCAAGTGAAGATGCCCAAAAACATACCAAATTGACAAAGTCCTAACATGGATTTAAATAAACAGCCAGACAATGGTCTGCAAAACTAACTCAAGCCTTGTAAAAAGGAGCTGCAAGCAGTCTAAGGATGACAAAATTGTCTTCATCTGGTGGAAGAGCAACAATATTACCATCTTTTTAGTATTTGAAATAGTGCAGGTGATACATAGGTGACAGGCACGGTGACTAGACTGGAGGATTGACAAATGGTTGGGAGGAAATGAGTATGATTTCCAAACTGGAAACATAAAGACTGATGATTGATCAACCTAATTTGAAACAAGTTCTGATGCAGCCCTAATTGTTCAAGTCAGAAATTATCTCATCCTTCTTAGTACTCAAGGTGCAATCGAAAGAGGAGGAAAAAGATCACAGGTATAAAGAAGAAGAGTAAGAGAAAATATGAGATCCAGAAAAGATAAGGTAAGACATCATTGCTGAACCTCATGCTGTCCAATTTTTACCTCCAACAACTCTTTAAGTCTTTAAGACCATACCTTCTCCCTACTGAATATTATGATTAGGGGTTTATATCCTTGCCTGATTTAGCTCCACCTTATTTTGAATAATATCTCTAACTCAAGTGCTTAGACTAGAATTTTCAAAAAGTTCGAGTGTAGATATTGGTGCTATCTCACCTAAAGCATCTCAAATAATCACACACTAATGGAATGTGAGTTACACCCACAATTCATCTCATTAGCTGAAAATGATATCCAAAGAGTTCTAGTTCATTGGAAACAACCAAGAATATTCCTACATGAATTACGATAGATAATAAAAGGGAGAAGTAAACGAATCACTCACAGCTTCTTTGATGAAAACAGAAGAAGCTGCACCCTTCCACTTAGGATCATTATCAGGGAAAAGTTGCCCGATATCCGGAAGCCCTAATGCCCCCAATATAGCATCTACCACACAATGAAGCAGCACATCTCCTACAATCATAAATTAAAAAATTACATATAATTACAATTCACCACTTTAAATTTCCTAAGTTCCTAACTATCAAGTAAAATATTCCACAAAAATCCGAATCTGCCCAAAATTATTCCAACAAAACTGATAATTCACCCACAATAACGCAAAAATGCCCAACACTATTCAATACAAATCCCATTAAAAAACAAACAAAAATCTATCTAGCACTAGCAGAGAAACCATCCATTTCAGCACCCCTTCAAATTTCCAGATAAAAAATCCGAAATTGCCCAGAATAATTCCAGCCAAGCATGTAATTAATTCACAACAATGCAAAATATCCCAACATTATTCAATACAAAATTCAACATTCAAAACTAAATTAAATTCTATAAAAATGAAAAACAAAAAAACACCCAGAAATGAGAGAAAAAAAAAAATACCATCAGAGTGAGCCTCGCATCCTTTATCATGAGGAATGTCAATGCCACCAATAATCAAAGGATAACCCGGCTCCAAGCGATGGAGATCGAACCCGTGACCGACCCGAAAAGGAAGGATTTTAGGGGGTTTTGAATTTGATAATGAAGTGGGTTGAGAAGTCTCAGCAATTGGGGTAGAAACTGCTGAAATTGAGAAAGAATTGGTGGGTTTTAAAGCTGAATTGTTCAGGCATTTGGTGTTGAGAGTGAAGGAGGGAAGAGAGTGTGAGAGGTGGGAAGAAGAGGAGAGAGAAAGTAGATGTTTTTGTGTGGTGGTGTGAAGGAATGAGCAAGCGCAGAGAGCAGTTGTCATAGCTGCCATTGATTAACCTTCAGAAAATTGGGAAATTGAAAAAGGAATGAGCAAGAAATGAGGGTGTATTTGGTTCAAATAAACAAATACTCCGTACTCCCTAATGGTATAAATTTGGAATGAGTAATGAAACTACGTTGGTATGGGTTTGGTTTGTTTGGTTTTGAGTTGAGAATGATATGTTTTTCTTTTAATTTAAAGCTAAAGCCTAAAGGTGTGACCATATGGGTATGACTCATACCTACCTTCCCCTTGATTTTCAAAATCCCGTACCTTGGGGGGTTTGAGTATGGGTTTCAAAATTGAATTTTGTAAAAATAAGCAATAGGTATGGGATTTACTCATTCTAAACACATATCTCATACCTTAGATGCTTGAACCAAACGTCTTTTTAAGAGGTTTTCCCATTAGCCTAGACTCGTTGAGATTGACGCATGTGGAAAACAAGAAGCTTATTATGTTGTTATTTGGTTAAGTACATGCATTTATGAGTGGTGGTGTACTCTAGGATGCATGGACACTTCATCCAACTACCGTGTTCATGTCGGACACCGTGTCAGACATCGACACCCACGACGACATGTCTTGGACCGTATCGTACTATGATATAGGGTGTTCAACTTTTTTTGATGAGAAATTTTAAGTAGAGGAAGATAAATAAGGTAATTGTTAAATAACATGGGTGCCTTCATATATAGCTCATTGTTAATATGATATTATATGATTTAATGAGAGGACGAAATAACAAATATATGGTCAAATTCTTTTTAAAAAATATATTTTATGAATTTTAACATCCCGTATCCGTATCCCTTGTTGAGATAGACATTTTTCCATATCCGTGTCATTACCCGTTCTTGTGCAACCTAGGGTGTAACTTATCAAGAACAGAAAGATTTGTTCTCTTCAACTTACTTCATATACTTATTCCTTAATAGATCAGAACTTTTGATTATCAATTAGTTATCGTTAATTGTGCATTAAAAAAAGGAAAAAATTTCACTTTTACTACCACTCAAATACCCCTACTTCACTTTTGCTACCCATCTAAAATTTTATTTTGCTACCCCAAAAGGCAAAAAACATATGTTTTGCTACCACTTAACATAAATGGTTACTATTTCCGTTAGTGAGGTCCAACCACCGTCCAGCCACCCTTCCCTCCTTCCAGCCACCCCTGCTCCCTGCTCACACCAACAATCAACCACCAACGACCACCAATCACGCGCACAACACCTCCCTCCACCATCACTTCCATCACCACTGGCAATCAACAAGCGGCAGCGACATCAAGCAACCAATTTCCTTCCCTATCCCCCACCACGCCGCCCTACTCACACACCAATTCACCAACCCAAAGGCAGCCTCCAGCCCGAGTCAATCTTCCTCCTCCCACCACCGCAACAACCCACATACACCATAAACCACCACCGCAACAATCCACATACACCATAAACCACCACCGCAACAATCCACACCACAAACCACCACCACAACAATCCAAACCACAAATTACAGCCCAATCCAACACCGAAACCACCACAATCACCACCTAAGTCAGCGCCCAGCAATCACCGCCCAAATCACAACCTACACTCCGCAAAACACAACAACAATTTACCACGGAAACCCAAGCACGACTACAATCGCAACCAATCGCGGCCAATCGCAACCAATACCACCCTAAACGGGTAGAAACAGAACCCTAAAACCCGTTTAGGGTGGATTTACGGGTGATGTTTAGGTTTAGGGAATCAGGGGTGCCGGTTTTGGGGTGAGAGAAATGGGTCATAGGCGGCGGGGGATAGGTAGCCGGCACGGAGGGGGGAGGGGGAGAGGTGGCTGACGGGGCTTATAATGGCTGGGATTTTTTTTATTTTTTAAAAAGTTATTTTTATATAAATTAAATTATTATTTAATTAGATAATTGGTCCCACTTAACGGAACCCCTAACAGATTTTGTTAAATGGTGCAAAAGCTATATGATGGAACTTTTGGTGGTAGCAAAATAAAATAAAATTTTAGATAGGTAGCAAAAGTGAAGTAGGGGTGTTTGAGTGGTAGCAAAAGTGAAATTTTTCTTAAAAAAAATTAATAAAAATTACATATTTGAAAAGTTCATAATGAGACGAATCTAACAAGATCTTTTGATAATGTTTTTCTTTATAGATTACTATTAAAATGTGGTTAAAGTTTAGTCAAATTGTTAAATCAGATGAGACCAGACCGGATAATAAAATTTCAGATCAGACCTTTAAAAAATCAGATCAAATCTACTTGTTTCAGGTGAAGAGAACAAGTCCTAAGTTGTTACAGAATATTGGGTTAGTACTTGTATTTACGGGTGGTGGACTGACATGTGGTGTAGTTCTACTCGCTCCATCTCAATTTGATGTGATTACTAAATATGGTAATTTAAGGAGACATTTGTCCTAATATTAGCAAACGTAGGTTATTCTATTACAAAGTATATTTTTTAGAATACTATAAATAGGGTCCAATAGGCATTAGTTTTATTTTCATGAGTAACTTTGTACTTATACATACATGCATTATTTTTATTAACCTGATGATATTAAGGCTCTTCCTTAAGCTAAAATGAAATAAAAATTGAATAATAAGCTAAACTTAATAGTACTTTGATGAAATAAATAATAGAATTTAAATAAGTTCAATCAAACAAGACCTAACTACTACAAATTGTTGCGGAATATTCATGATATGACTCCACTTTACATATGCTATAAACTATTATACCATACCAACACTAGTCACCTTCAACCCAACCACAACCCTACATCGATCACCGCCTCTTTCAAATTTATGTGAAATATATATATATATATATATATATATATATATATATATATATATATATATATATATATATATATATATATATATATATATAAGCAACCAACTTCAATTTGTCAAAATTTGATATAAAATTATTGCATAATTTTAGCATTCTGATAACCTTAAAATCATTATCAAAATAAACAATTCACCAATCCCTTGTATACTTATTTTTTGTTTTAAAATTGCAGTAGTATGCAGTATAGTTATAAACTTATAATCCTTTATATCACTTTGCCACTCTAACTCGATAACACTTTTTTACTTAGTTCTATGTTCGACAATTGTGAGCGTGAACGTTAAAAAATATGGTGAAATTATGTCAACATTTGCTAGTTTGGAATGAAAAATAAGGAGTTATAATGTTGATTAGATTACATACAAATAATCAGTGTGTGGATTATATTTGAATCTGAAATGCTAGTAAAATAAGATATTGCAATCAATCACTATTATATCACCAAAGGTGAAGGTTATGCAAAAATAGTTTTTACATACTTGTAATTCATTATAAATATAATTTTTTTTTTCTACAAAACGATGACATATTTATAATTTTTTGGAAATTTTGACTTTTGCTACCTCTAAAACACATCAAATTCATTTTTGCTACTTGAAAAAACTTTTATTTTATTTTACTACCTATCAAATCCTTGAAATTTAAATTTTGCTACTAGATAACGGAATCTGTTAATAATTCCGTTAGTGAGATGGCGCCTCCTTCATTACCACCTTCCGGCCACCACTCCCTCCTCAAATGCCTCCCCGACAGCCACTAAAAAAAACCCTGCCACCAAGCCCAGCCCCCTCCCCTTACCGGTGGCCGGCGCCGACGAACCATGTCCCTGTTCTCGCTGCCCCGACCAGCCACCACAACGAACCCCTTCCCTTTCCCGTTCTCGTTGCCCCGACCCCCACCCCAAACCGAAAACTAACTTTTTTCCCCTCCTTCCACCGGAATCCGCCCCAAACCACGTTTCCCCCACCAAAATCGACCCCCTCCCCTTCCCCTATCGTTTTCGGCCTTCCTTAACCCCAACCACCACCCCAAAACCACCCAAAACGAAACCCTAAATTCGTATTGGGTGGTTTTGGGATGGTGGTTTAGGGTTAAGGAAGGCCGAAAACGATAAGGGAGGGGGAGGGGGGTCGATTTCGGTGGGGGAAACGGGGCTGGGGGCGGATTCCGGTGGAGGGAGGGGGAAAAAGTTGGTTTTCGGTTTGGGGTGGGGGTCGGAGCAGTGAGAACGAGGAAAGGTTTGTTGGCAGCGTAGGGGTGGGGGAAAGAGAGGGGGGTGGGTTCGCGCCGGCGACGGCCGAAATTCTGGGCGCCGGCCGCCGGCAGTGGGAGGGAAGCTGTGGCAGTTGAGGGGAGGGGTGGCTGGGGCGGCTGGGTTTTTTTTTTTTAAAATTTTTAATTTATTATTATTATTTTAAAAAAAATGAACTTTAACGGAATTATTAACAGATTCCGTTAACTGGTAGCAAAAGTTAAAAAAAGGGCTTAGGTAGTAAAATAAAATAAAAGTTTTGATAGGTAGCAAAATTGAAATTGAAGTGTTTGATAGGTAGCAAAAGTAAAAAAATCCTAATTTTTTTTTTTTTATCATTATTCATATACAAGAGCGATTTCCCTTAATATTGTTGGAATAAAAATAAATTCCTATTATGCTTCGTTTTGAAAACAAATTCCCAAACTAATGTCCACGTAGGATTGGTTTTTCGGTTCAGCTTAAAACCGCGAACTACGTTAGCGGTTTTGCAATTTTTAAAAATAAAGTCAAAGAGACTTGTTTTTTATTGAAAGGTGGTCTCTTTGAACTTGTAAGTATTATTACCAGGCTGTCTTTTCTACCTTTAGACTAAAACTTTAAAACTAACCAAGGATGCAAAAAGACCAGTTATTAGTTAGGTGCGGTCTCTTTTCTAGAACCGCTAAGACTTGTGAATTAACAAGGACGCAAAGAAACCTGTTATTAGTTAGGTGAGGTCTCTTTTCTAAACCACTAATGATGATAGCGTTTTAAGCTGAACCAAAAAAAAAAAAAATTAAAGCCCAACACCGATCCTATGTGGACAATATCTAGGGAATTGAGAATTTATTTTTGTTTTAACGGTGGGAAATCGTTTCATACACAAAAACATAACATTTAAATAATTCAACTAAAACAATTTGTATTGGATAATATGTATTGTATTAAATACTGAATATAGAGTAGATATTAATGTGTGACTTTAACATTTTTTTTTATCAATGTTTAATTACATATATAGACAATCATATGACAATATGTGTCAAATTTATCTATGT